CTCATTGATCTAGCAATTATATAAGTATTATCCCGTGCTACCCATATGGTAACACACTAATGATGTAACTGGTACGAATGAATCTGGAAGAACTTTTATGACTATATATGTACACATGATATATAATTAATATTGAAACGACCTTCGGACGGCTACCCGATATCCCACCAGACCATATCTCAAGCGCGAAAAGGAAATAGGGCGGACGGCCTTCCTAAGCCTTTTAAACATTTCTTATATAACTATACATATATGGGCATGCAATTTATAATAAGTATAACAAAGTTTAAGTAAAAGTATTTGATAAGTAAAAGAGTTTGATAAACAGTTTGAACAGTAGTAAAATCATCGGTTTGGTAGTTATTAATCACATGTGATTGATGTCATAACTATAAGTATTCAACTTGTATTCCCCCCATAAAATCATTTAAAACATTTAAAAGTATTTCAAAGGTTAGTTAAAGGGCTATGAACTCACTTGTGGTGAGTGGATTGGATTGAAGTGTCGGATACTGTGCTAGGTGGCAAACGGAGACTTGTACACACGCACGAGCCTAGTTATCATATAATGAACATATATATAACTAATTAGCCAAATTATAACTAATAAATTAAGTTGGGACACTCTAGAACATGAAAACACTTTGTATGAGTGTTATAAGTCCTAAGGATTGCATCTATGTTGTTGTGGGACAAGGCTAAAGGGGTTTAGGGTTCCAAAAGACCCTATACATGAGTTTACTCTTCATTAAACTCCACACAAGGAGTTTACGGTCGTAAACCCTTGAGTTTACGGCCGTAAGCTCCCAAGCTTAATGATATTATGTGTTTTGAAGTGTTACTTGATTTCTAGAAGCAATTCTACTTGGTGGTTAAATCCTTGGAATAGTTTAGGGCATCAAGACACTCTTTTTAGGAGTTTTTGGCCCAAAGGCCATTTCCTTTTGAGTTTACTACCGTAAACTCATATAGAAGTGGATATTTTTATGCTTTCAAGTCCCAATCTCATGTAGGATAGGTTCTATACATTTATCTAAGGCTAATGAAGGCCTTAGGCACACATTGGTGCCCTTCCTTCATGTTCACGGCCCAAGAACCTTTTACCTTAGAGATTACGGCCGTAATCTCTCTTTGCTAGGGGTTTTTGATGTTTTAAGGCCCCTCAAACAACTAGGAGTAAATCTAGGTAATTTTCCAAAGCTTTAGGAGTGTTAAAAGCACTCTTTGGTCCTTGTTTTTGGAGTTCACGGTCCAAGAACTTCTTGGGCCGTGAACACCTAAACTTTGGTGTTTCTTTGATGTTTTCTTGTCTTAAATAGACCTATATACAAGCCTAAGTTCGTTATTAAACAATTGGAAGGGAGTAGGCATCATATAAGCCTTATATAAGAGTTTACTCCCTAAGATGTTCTTGGGCGGTAAACTCCCGAATCTTACCGTTTTGCAATGTAATCTATGTTATTAAACATGTTATAAGCCATATATTACAACTAGAGAGAGGTACTCACGATTTGGGATGAAAACCCGAAGATCCGTGAGAGAGAAAATGGCTTTTCTCTAGTTGGAAATGTAACAAATGAAATAATTTGGTTAAGAATCATATTTATAGTCCTGGGATTTTTTTGCAGAAAATGTTTTTATTCCCTTAATGAACTCTAATATAATAGAGTTTTGGAATAGCAGTGTTGCACAAAACCCTAGTGCATCCACTCTCCTGATATCTCCTTAAGTGTAAATCCCGAAATACTCAAACTTATACGGAAAAGTCTGAAAATTTACTGTGACTGTTATAACTTCTATTGACTTGATAAAGTTCGTACAGAATGGAAATTTCGGGCTGTCACATCATCCCCCCGTTAGAAGGAATTTTGTCTTGAAATTAGAATTTAAGCAAATAAGAAGTTACAAATAACTAAGCGAAAAGATGAGGATATTTTAGTTTCATCTGATCCTCTCGTTCCCAAGTGAATTCAGGTCCTCGTTTGGCGTTCCAGCGAACCTTCACTATTGGGATACGACTTTGTTTCATTTGCTTGACCTCTCGGTCGATGATTTCTACTGGTTCCTCCACGAAGTTGAGGCCCTCGTTGATCTCGATATCATTGAGTGGAATAACAAGAGTCTCGTCGGACAGACACTTTTTCAAGTTCGATACGTGGAATGTAGAATGTACGTTACGAAGTTCGTCGGGTAGATTGAGTTTGTATGGTACAGGGCCGATTCTTAAGAGAATCTCGAAATGCCCTATATATCTCGGATTAAGCTTCCTACGCTTACCGAAGCGTATTAAGCCCTTCCACGGTGAGACTTTGAGAAGGACTTAGTCTCCCACTTGGAATTCCAAAGGTTTTCTTCGCTTATCAACGTAGCTCTTCTATCGGTCTCTAGAGGCTTTCAATCGTTCATGGATTTGAACGATCTTCTCTGTCGTTTCCCGAATGATTTCCGGGCCGGTGAGAGTACTGTCAGAAACTTGCCCCCTAGCTAATTAGGTATCCCCCACTTCAGCCCAACACGTAGGGGATCCGCACTTTCGGCCATAGAGGGTTTCGAATGGAGCAACCTTGATGCTTGTGTGATAACTGTTATTGTAGGAAAAATCGACAAGGGGTAAATAAGTATCCCATGCCTTTCCAAAGTCGATCACACAGGCTCTCAACATATCTTCCAGTGTTTGGATGGTCCTCTCACTTTGCCCATCGGTCTGTGGATGGTTGGCCATACTCATGTCCAACCTAGTTCCTAGGGAACTTTGTAACGACTGCCAGAACCTTGAAGTGAATCTACTATCTCTGTTCGATATAATAGATAAGGGAACACCGTGCAGTCTTACAATCTCCCTAATGTAAGTTCTTGTAAGTTTCTCCATCTTTTAAGTCTCTTTGATAGGCAGGAAGTGTGCAGACTTGGTCAATTGGTCGACAATGACCCATATGGCATCAAGTCCACCCGTCGTCTTGGGCAACTTGGTTATAAAATCTATAGTTATCCACTCCCACTTCCATTCTGGTATCTCCGGCTGTTGTAAAAGACCGGAGGGTTTCTGGTATTCGACTTTGACCTTTGCGCAAGTAAGGCATTTACTCACGAAGGTAGCAATCTCTGCTTTCCCGGGTGTATGGAATAACGAGTGTTGTCACTACTAGAAAAAAGGCCTTTTACGATGCTCATTGCGCGTCGTAAAACGCTCAGACGATGCGCAAATGCGCGTCAAGGAAGGCCGTGTCATAAAGAGAGACGACGTGCATTTACGACGCGCGTTTACGATACGCAATGCGTATCAAGGAAGGCCCTGTCATAAAGGAAGACGACACGCATTCGCATGTCGTAACCTTACGACGCGCATGTTAATGACACGCAATGCGTATCAAGAAAGCCCCTGTCAAGAAAGGCCATGTCATAAATGAAGATGACACACATTTTTGCGTATCATAATTTTAAATGTTTAAAAAAAATATTTTTAATAGATTTACTAATTTTCGAATTAAATTTGAATTTAATTCCTCATAATAGAAAATAAAATATCATATACAAAAAATATAATCCATTTCATAAAATTTAATGTCATATACAAATAATCATTCCAATAGTAAGTAAATGTAACACATTGCTAATATTGCATAATATTTATTATTGAAAACAAAACATGTACAACATGAAAAGAAACCCTTGAATAAATTCTCCTTTGACAATCACCTTTGACAATTTTCTTTTTAAAAGAATAACCTGAATGCAAGAACTTTGAGAGGCTGCAAGGCACTAATATGTCAAATTTGTTTGTCTGCATGTTTTCAGCCAAATATAGGAAATTTCAGGAGTATGTATACATGTCATTTATATATATATATATATATATATATATATATATATATATATATATATATATATATATATGACATAACATAAAGCATACATTGACATAACATAACTAATTCCAAACAATTCAAACATGACAAAGGGAAAACAAAGGTGGCATACCTGATGCATTCACCCTCATCTTACAAGAAACCCTGCATTTGCTTCAATTTGCCAATTTCACGTTTCAGGTATTGATTTAAAGAATTGGTGGGATCGCAAGCATGATGTACCGGAGGGCGTTTCTGTCGACGATCGATACGCAATCGTACCCCGTTTGGGATCGAGCCGTTTGGAACGTGGATCGTGACTACTTTGGCGAATCCTGTGACTATGGTCCCCAACTCCTCCACGACTCCATGGAACATTTACACAATACCCTTCTCCACCCATGGACCCCACCTGATAACATATATAAGAGTGAAATGACCATTTTACCCTTCTCGATGTAAAAAATGAGAGAGAAAAAAAAATTAGGGTTATGTTTACCTCATGGGCAGCGCCTGTACCAGGGTAGAATTTTCCACCTTCATGTCTATGTAAGGATATATACAACACCTATAACAATTAAAACCAGTATCATCAGAAATAGTCAGATAGTAATCTACAATGTTATTTATGATTTAAAATAAATTAATCAACTATATTGTTTTATATTTATGTTGAGTTTCATTTTTTTTTATAGGAGAATGATTGATAGTTAATTTTACATGGCCTCCTGCAATTTATTACCAGGAAACACTTATAGTGTTTATGTTTTTTTTTAAATATCACAAACTCTTTGTGGTTAACCAAGAAAAAAATTATTTCTGTGGTTAAACCAAAAAAAATACAGAATATGGAGTTAACCATATAATAATAATATCATTAACAAGTTGAAGAAAGTAGTATCAATTATTGCACGAATAAAAAAAATAAAAATAAAATTACTGTTTTGTTCTGCTCAAATATTTCTTGAGTTCCATTTCCATGGTGTACATCCTGTAAATAAATAAGGTTAGATAACTACAACTCATAGTTTTTTTTTTTTTTTAATTACAAAGATTATTACCAATCAACAATCAAGACTTTTTTTGCTCCTGCAGCTTGTGCTGCTGATGCAGCAATGGCTGCATTGTTATGCAGATAGAATCCCATTGCTTGTCTCACTCCAGCATGATGACCTGGAGGACGCACCTGACCCATGACCCATGACCCATGACCCACAACCCATGATCCATCAAACATAAAGATTAATGGAACAAATAGAGAGGTGAAGGTTGAGGGTTTATTTGGAAGTATTTAGGAGGTTGAGGGTTTTTTCGGAAAAAATGAAAAAACACAAGGTCTTTTTCAGGCAAAAAATAAATTTGTGGTTTAATCCGGAAAAAACATAAAATATAAGGTCTTTTTTGAGATAAACCTTAAATATAATGGAGAAATACTAAAATGTTAAGAGGTTATATAAGTAATTGATATTTAATGTACCTAGCAACATGTTGGCTTGTGAGTTCAACAGATTCAATATTCTCATGAGAGTGGATCTGAAAACAATATAATGGAATGGCATCAGTCATTACATTCCAGAATCATGTTTGGTTGGTGTGTAAGAATGTAATCAATTTTTTATTATATTAAGATACATTGTATAGTGTTAAGTTTTAACTCTACTTTATATGTTATTCACTTCTAATTTATAAAATTTTAATTTGCAAAACTAAAAGATTAAACATAAAAGCTCATTAGAATCCAAATAACTGTTTTCTAATATTACAAATTTTATAAATAAAAATGGGTTATATTGCAAATTTTCATTCCATTCCTTCAAAATGAGAATTTACAAAAGAGAAGGAATCACATTCCTTCAAGAATGGTGCATTCCATTCCATTCCATCAAACAAAACAAACAGCTTTTTTCATTCCAATGGAATGAGCCATTCCATTCCATTCCCTTCCCTCCCTGATTCCCTAATACCAAACACTACCTTAAAGTTTAGGGTATATCACAATCAGCTTATTTTATAGCCAATACCAATGAAAGTGGAAAGTCAAGATTGCAAGTTGACTTTAAACTAATGAATGAAATGTTTACCATCTGAAGTTCTTCACGTGTAATTTCTCTTGCTGAAATCGGTTGGCATCTTCCAGGAAATATACCTAAAATTTACAGAAATGACAATTTAGAGAATTAAATTTTTTTTTTTTTAAAAAAAGACAAGGAATCCTAGTCACACACCTGCAGTTGCCAGGCTGGCAGCAATTGCTCGAAGATGATCTGGTCTTTCTGGATGAGGAAGAGACTTCCTTTCAACCTACAAATTATAAAGATCAAAAAATGATGACATCAAAGTTTTTTATTTATAAAACCATCAAGACTATTAAAAATAATTTTTTTAAAAAAATGAAAATTGAAATATCGGGAAGAATTCTTACTTCAGAATGAAGCAACATCCTATCATCAAACCCCACTGCTGTCGATTTATGTGGGGCCAAAGTTTTTGAGCAAGAAGCTAACATTGATTGAAAAAAAAGATCAAGGAAATGAAAACAATTTAAATGAAAAAATCAATCTTTAAAAACTTATGTGGGGCCAAAGTTGTTTTCTCTTTAGACCTTCTGATTTCCCATTTTGCTTCAATGATGCATTCTGAATAGAATCTGCCTCTTCTGAAGATGATGCAAGAAAGCCATGCCTAAGGATTCCAGAATCTTTATGCTCTCCACACATCTGGTGAAGATACTTGGCACAGAACTTAGAGACTGCCTGACCTGAAAGATAAAAAAAAAGCTTAGTGAGGACTATTGGAACAGGTCCCAACCTTCTCACTCACACAACACAGATGTATATGTATGCAGAAAGCAAATATAGAGATACGAAAGTACTTTGGACTCAAAGCTGCTGCACACTGACTTCTCATATTCAGAAAACAAAGGCTATATATATAGCTTGTAGTACATATCCAATGGAAACAAACTAAAACAGTCTACAAGGTTCTTATCTCTTGATCTTGCTAAACTTACTATTTTCTTCCTTGATTCGAACTTTCTTGTTTGGTCACTTCGAATCTTATTACTTGCTATTCAAACCACTTAGGTTTGATCTTGCTATCTTGCTTCAATCTTCCTCTATCTTGCTTAGACTCTTGCTGTACCTTGCTTCAATTTTCTTTCCTTCTCGATCAAAAGTGATCGCTTGCTGCTTCTTTCTTCTTTCTTGCCTGCTAGCATGTCACACAGTTGTGTTGTTTTTTTTTCTTCTTCTTCTTTCTTCTGATCACAAAGACCTAGCACCACCGAGTCCTTTTTCCTGCTTCACTCTCTACAATGAATCTATCTCTCGGCAATGGAGGTGATCGACTCCAACAATGATCGACCTCTTCTCTCTTGTCTCTCTTCTTTCTTCTTTCTACTTTCTTCATTCTTCTTTCTTCATGTCTTTTCTCTTTCTTCTTTCTTCTTTCTACTTTCTTCATTCTTCTTTCTTCTTGTCTTTCTTTCTTTCTTTTGATTGTTTCCAATCAAACATTCTTTCTCTTGCCGACCTGCTGCTGCTTCTACTGCTCTTGTTGCCCTGCAGCCAAAAGATCCTCCCTCCGAAAATCGACCCTCAAACTAGCTCTCTTCAACCTGCTCTGATACCCATATCCATATCTTGAATCAAGATTACCCAACAAGGACACCTTATATATGAAGAAACAAACATGTATGTATATAATCTATATCCATATGCTTACCTCCATGGCCATCATAAACGCCAAAGAAAGATGTGGAGTTGTCGAAGTCAAGTAAAGCAACATGCTACCAAACACCTCATATTGACACATAAACTTACGAGAGATTGGAATTGTCCGTACAGTTTTGTTCCAGTGGCGGATGAGGCATTTTATCAAACATGTTGCGTGCATCATCGATTCTTCCCCATTTACTGTATAAGTCGATTTCTCGATTTCTATTTCTCTTTCTCCCATTCCAGTCTCTGACTTTCTGTTGCTGTGATAGAGAGTTTCCTTCTGTCGCTGGGATTTGAGTAGTGCCACCACTCCTCCGAAGGCTCTGAGTTTTCTCGGTCTAGGTCACCAGACCTAATGTTGCTGGCAAGGGCAGGCGAGGTGAGATTGCCGGAGATGAGGGGCTCCATCGGCTGGGTGACGCTGGAAAGCGTTGGACGGTGGGGCAGGGCTAGACGGAGGTCAGAGGTGGGAGGCGCCAACACCAAGAGAAACATCGGAGGTGGGAGAAGCTGTCGACGTCGAGTACCGAGAAGAAGAGAAAGGGTTTTTCGAAGTGAGAAGGAGAGAAAGGGAAGTTGAAGAGAGAATGAGCAGTATAGGAGGGCATAATCGGGGCAAGTTCTTGAAAAAAAAAGCCCTAGCTACTATGGAAATTAAAGTGGAGGGAGAAAAAAAAAGGAAGGCGGGGATTTTAAGTATTTGGGATTTCATTTTCCCCGGATGGAACGCGCGCGTTCTATTAAAATTTATAAAGCGACGGTCGTAGACGACACGCAGGTGCCCTCCGTGTTTTTTTTTGTTTAGACACTAATTTTAGGGCACGCAAAAATGCGTGTCTGAAATCCTTTAAATTTTGGAAGAGATGACATTATTTTTTAGACACTCACCTTTGCGTATCATAAATCACTGCGTGTCATGGTTCGCGCGTCGTAAAAGGCTATATTTCTAGTAGTGTGTGCACCTCGTTCATGACCAAGTTTCTGAAACCACCTAGGTTCGGCGTCCAGATCCGGTCCATGAAATAGTAAGCTCCGTTACCCTTAACCTCCAAGTTCTTATCCATCCCTCTTAGGGATTCACCCACCACATTTTCGGGCTTCAAAGCGTCAAGCTGAGCTGCCTTAATTTGGGTGGACAAGTGTGAATGGATAGTCATAGTCAATGATTTGAACCTATGACCAAAATATTCCTTCCGACTCAGGGCGTCAGCTACTACGTTGGCTTTACCCGGATGATAACAAATTTTGCATTCGTAATCACTGAGTAGCTCGACCCACCGTCATTGTCTCATGTTGAGCTCCTTCTGGTCGAAGATGTGTTGTAAACTCTTGTGGTCTGTAAAGATATTGCTCTTCATCCCATACAAGTAATGTCTCCAGATCTTCAGAGCAAACACAACTGCTCCTAGTTCAAGATCTTCGGTTGTGTAGTTGACTTCATGTGTCTTTAGTTGTCTCGAGGCATAGGCGATGACCTTACCCAGCTGCATCAGAACACATCCGAGACCTTGATTCGATGCATCGCAATAGACTACGAAGTCTTCTATTCCTTCGGGAAGGGATAGTATTGGTGCGGTGCACAAGGCTCGTTTGAGCGTTTGGAACGCTCTTTCCTACTTCTCTTCCCAGTCAAAGGCCACACCTTTCTGGGTCAGTGTTGTAAGAGGTTTCGCTATGCGGGAGAAGTTCTGAATGAACCTGCGATAGTAGCCAGCGAGGCCTAGAAATTGACGAATTTCTGTAGGCGTCTTCGGTGCTGACCAGTTCTCAATGGCCTTGATTTTGGAAGGGTCCACGTGTATTCCCTCTTCGCTTACCACGTGTCCTAAGAATTCGACTCTTCGGATCCAAAATTCGCATTTAGAGAACTTCGCATAAAGCTTCTCCGTTCGTAAAGTCCTTAGAAATTGTTGCAGATGATCGCCATGATCTTCCTTACTTCGGGAGTAGATCAGGATGTCATCAATGAATACAATGACGAACTGATCCAAGTAAAGTCGGCATACTCTATTCATCAGATCCATGAAGACTGCGGGCGCATTGGTCAATCCGAATAGAATCACCATGAACTCGCAGTTTCCATAATGAGTTCGGAGGTTGTCTTCGGAACATCCTCCTCTAGCACTCGTAATTGGTGATATCCGAATCTTAGATCAATTTTGGAAAAGTAGTTTGCCCCTTGCAGTTGGTCAAATAAATCATCTATGCGAGGCAGAGGGTAATGTTTCTTGACCGTTAGTTTGTTGAGTTCTCTGTAGTCGATACACATACGGAATGATCTTTCTTCTAAACGAATAAGACTGGTGCTCCCCAAGGTGAGAAACTTGGTCTTATAAAGCCCTTGTTGAGCAGTTCGTTAAGTTGACCAGATAGTTCCTGCATCTCTACTGGTGCTAATCGGTAGGGTTACTTGGCTACTGGGGTAGCTCCTGGGACTAAGTTGATTCTGAACTCGACCTGTCGTTGCGGAGGTAATCCTGGTAGCTCTTCTGGGCAGATGTCGGGAAAGTCGCTCACTACTGGAATGTTCTTTAGTTCTTTCGTTTCGAGGCTCGTATCGATAATGTGAGCAAGGAATGCATGGTATTCTTTACGTAGATACTTCTGTGCTTGAATAATTGATATTATACAAAGACTCGCACCAGTTTTGTGACTGTTATAACTTCTATTGACTTGATAAAGTTCGTACATAATGGAAATTTCGGGTTGTCACAGTAAAGGATCTCACAGTCATAGTACTTCAACACATCAAGTCGCCTACGCTTCCTCATAATCATATTTGGCAGATCCATCAGATACTTTAAACTCTTGTGGTCTGTGTTAATGATACAATGAACCCCACACAAATAATACCACCAAATCTTAAGGGAAAACACAACCGGCCCCAGCTCCAAGTCATGAGTGGGATAATTCGCCTCATGAGGCTTTAGCTGCCTCGAGGCATAAGTTATTACATGACCCCCTTCTGCATCAAATTTGCACCTAGTCCTAAAATAGATGCATCGTAATATAACACAAAATCATCCACACCCTCTGGCAGGGTCAAGATCGGAGCCTCACATAACTTCTATCTCAAAGTATCAAATGTCACCTGCTGCTTGGGCCCCCAATGAAAAGTACCAGACTTCTTCGTCAACCTAGTCAAAAAAACCGCGATCCAAGAGAAATTATTTATAAACGTCCAGTAATACCTAGCTAAACCAAAGAAACTCCAAATCTCATTTGCAGACCTAGGGACCTCTCACTGTATCACGGCCTCGATCTTGGCCATGTCGACCACTATACCCTTCTGTTTGACAATGTGCCCAAGAAACTGCACCTCTCGCAACCAGAACGCACACTTGGAGAACTTGGTAGACATCCTCTCTCTCCTTAGTGTCTCCAGAACCTATCACAGATGATCCTCATGCTACTCTTTGGTCTTAGAATAGACCAATATGTCATTAATAAACACAATGGATAACTGATCCAGCATCGGTTTGCACACCCGGTTCAAGAGATCCATGAAAGCTGTCGGTGCATTGGTATGCCCAAAAGGCATCAACACAAACTTCTAGTAGCCATAACGAGTCCTAAAGGGTATCTTCTGAACATCCTCATTTCAAACCCTCATCTAATGGTATCCTGAATGTAAACTAATCTTGGAGAACCAAGACGCACCCTGAAGTTGGTCGAACAAATCATCAATTTTCGGAAGCAGATAATGGTTCTTCACTGTCAACTTGTTTAGCTCCTGATAATTAATGCATATCCTGTGGGAGCCATCTTTCTTCTTCATGAATAACATCGATGCTCCCCAAAGTGAACTAACCAGTATGATAAATCCCTTGTCCAACAGTTCCTGCAGATGTGTAGACAACTCTTGCATCTCCGGTGGTGCCAACCGATAGGGTTCCTTGGCTATCAGAGCCACACTTGGAACTAGATTAGTATGAAACTCGACGTGCCTCTCCGGAGGCACTCCGGGAAAATCCTCCGGAAACACATCTGAATACTCCTGAACAATCAGAACATCATCAATCTTTCTCTTCTTCTCCTTTTTTGTATCCAATACATATGCCACATACCCGAAACAACCTTGTTCTAAATATCTCCAAGCTCTCGCAGCTAAATAGAGAGTCAGTCTACACTGATCACCCTCACCATGAATAACCAGTTCTCCCCCACTTGGGGTTCGAACCCTAACTAATTGGTGCCTAAAATCAAACATTGCCCTATAAGGGCTCAACTAGTCCATTCCTACGACCACCTTGCTCTTGTGCGAAGGGATAGGAACCAAATCAATCAGATAACTCTTGCTAAATAGTTCCATAACAACCCTCGATATCCATACTGAACAATCACCGGTAATGTCCACATCTAAAGGATAATCAAGCTCCTCTGGAGCATCCCCGAACCTCTTGCTATGTGCAATAGAAACATATGATTGAGTGGCCCCTGAATGAAACATAACTAAAGATAGAACACCACTCACTAGGAACATCCCTATATACACCAATCATATAACAAGCATAAACATCAAAATAATAAATGAAATAGGGAGAAAAATTACGTACCCATAACCACGTTTGGTGCCGCACAAGCCTACTCAGCTGACAACTGGAAAGCTCGAATCCTCACAACGGGCGCATCCGTCCTGACCTGACGGTCGTCAGTGATCCTCAGTGTCGATTGAGCAGGTGCTGCAATCGCTCCTCCAGTTAAACTTGGGTAATTGGCCTTCTTGTGGCCCCTCTAATTTCAATAGCAGGAAATCAGATTAGATACGTGGATAGTGGGGCAACACGTTCTACAGTGACCGGTCTTTCTGCACTTGTAGCATCCGGAACTACTGATCCTACAAACCCCATCGTTCACCTTGTTGCACTTTCCACAGTGGCTACGACCTTGATGGCCTCTCGATCTCGAATCAACAACCATAGGATTCTTGCCCGCCCCTTTGGATACCTAAATCTCAACTCGCTTCCTCTTCCGCATGGTCTCTAAATCAATATCCCGCTCACAAGCCCAAGCGATCATATCATCCAATGTCTTACATGTAGACATACTCACAAACTCCCGAATCTCATCCTTCGACATATCGATCATATCATCCAATTTCTTATATCTAGACATACTCACAAAATACCGAATCTCATCTTTTAGCATATCGTGGTACCGAGCCTTCTTCATCTCCTCGTTCGTTACATACTTTAGAAATAGCAAGGCCCTCTCCTTGAACATAATGGTAATCTCTGTCACTGTCATAGTAGTCTAGAGAAGGTGCTGAAACTCCCTCGCCAACTGCTAAACCTCAATCACCGGTGCAAACTCATCCTTGAACCTCATAACAAAATCACCCCAAGTGATTATCTCGACATCCTTGCCTCCGAAAGCATGGCCTGGTTCCTCCCACCAATCACGATCTCTATCTTTTAGAAGACAAGTTGCAAGTCTGACTTTCACCTTCTTAGGACATAGGCTAAATCGGAAGGCATTCCCGACGTTCTCCAACC